ATAGAAGCTCTTGGAGGTGGGAGCGAGGACAAGCTGTGTCCACATCTGTGCGGACAAGGAGGCTGTGAGGGCTGACGACAGGGACAGGCGGGGCGAGGAGCAGGCAGATGGGCCTGGGGCCAGCAGGCAGGCTGTCTGCTGGTTGGATGAGGGCCCCTTGCTCTTGCAACCAGCTGGGGTAGGCATGGCTCTCAGCACTGCAGGCCCAGCAGGGTGGGGCTTGCCAGCCCGCCTGCTCCCCTCTGTAAGGGGTCACCCAGCCCTCTCCGCCTCTCCCCTGCCCCCAGGCCATGGCACCAACTCCGCCCTCCTCCTCAGACCCTGAATCAGACCCCAGCGGGGGCCGGGCAGCCTGGAGCTCACCAGTCCTTCCCTGTGGGGGAGGATTGGCCTCAGCTGTGCTCATGAGCCCCAGGGTGGCTTCCCAGAAGCCGGGGTCCACGGCTGGCTTGTGCAGACCCAGCAGGGGCAAGACCCCGGCTGGAGCTGCCTGTCCCCACTGTGGAGACCCCAAGGCTGAGGCCCGGAGTGGGTAAGGGACACAACCCAAACTACACATCTAGTCAGTGGCCACTTTTTTGACCTTTGGGCACAGAGGGCAAGGGGGGCCAGGCCTCTAGTAGGTCACAGACCAGTGGCCGGGAGCAAACGAGACCCGGGACAGCTCCGACCCTGACAGGACAAGCCAGGAGCTCCTGCTCCTGTGGCCAGGCCCCAGGTCCTCGGGGGCTGGGTGTCTCCAGCACCAGGGGGCTGGCTGAATTCTGTCCCAGGCAGGGACACATCTGCTTTGGTACCATCATCTCTGGTGCATTAGCCAAGCAGAAGAGAATGGCACCCAGCCTCTGACGCCCCCAGATCCCATCTATGTACAGCATGGGCCAAGCTGCTGGGGACTCACCATGGGACCTGCGGGGCCTGCTCCCTTTGGGCTCAGTTTCCCACAGAGAAGTGGCAGCTGGGTGCCTGCCCTCTGTCCCTGGCTGCTGAGTTGCTCTGAGGACAGAGTAAGAGGACGGCTGAATGGAA